CCTCAATTGTTCACAAATTTACTGCCTCTTTGTCTAAAAGGTATAAATGCTGCCTACTTTGCTCACTTCACAGTGTCTCATACATCTATGAGCTCCCAAATGTACCAAATTAAACATTCTTTTTCTCATTTTATTGGTCTCATGTTAATTTCATTAAATTTAATTGTTAAACCAGCCAGAAGAGCCTAGAAGGGTAGAGAAATAATTGTTGCTCCTGATAGTGAGAGGGTACCCGTACTATCAAGAACCTCAGGAATGGTTGTCTCTGATGGCCTGGGGTGGCGGGTGGAGACAGTATTTCAGAAATGGGTACCCAGTGGTAAAGGGGATGAAAAATCCTGAAATAATACATTTGAGATATAGGTGCTCAACTATCACAGCAGGCAGAGTGCAATTATTGAATTGATCAGAAAGGTTGGAATGCCAGCCAAGGCGCTGGCCCACAGAGAGCTATCCCTTTGGCTCATAGAATACAGTGATCGTAGAGGCAAAATGGATGGACAGCCAACACAGAGACCGCTGGATTTAAATAATAAAAACAAAGATAAAGCACAAGAATGAATGACTAGGAGGCTAAAGCAGCCTTCCAACTAAAGACTGGATCCTTTGCCCAGTTTCCAGGACTGAGTCACTCATCAGATCTGGAACCCATTACTAGAAGGAGACGCCAGGTTCCAATGGGGAGGGAACCTTCAAGGTGACAGCAAGTGTAGTGATGCCTTCTGGCCTTCCCTAAACTTCTCTAAAGATGCAGGAGTCAGATCCATTTCCTATCTGTATTTCATTGCCAGCCTGGTCCAAAGACTTTCTATAAATGGATATATATTAAATATCTCAGGCTTTGCAGGCAAGAGGTCTCTGTTGCAAAGACTCAACCCTGCTGTTGTAGCAGGAAAGCAGTCATAGACAATGGTGTGTCTTGACCTTGTTCTTGGGCCACAGGACCCAGCACAACTAAGGTACTAGAGGCGTCTGTGCTAGGACAAGGTGCTATGGGGACTTGACGGCATTCCTACTGGAGAATCACAGCACAGACTCCTAGTGTTGGGAAGCAAGGCCATGCCACTTGCGGCAGGGACATCCACGCCATTTCTAGAGGCTCCTGGTAAAGTATGGGGGCCTGGTAGAGATGAGGCCTCTTGTTATAGGAAATCAGAGTTCCCCATGATAGGAGCCATTAGGTCACCTAGGCACAGTAGCCATAAGATAGAAATGATTCTTTGGGCATCGAAATAGCAGAGTCACAGGGAATAAATAAGAGGCAGACGCAAGTGGCCCTGAGCTTGACATCAGAAATGTTGCACCAGCACAACCCTCAGGTGACACCTATGGCTTCATGCAACGTCTCAAAGGCCCCCGTGGGCCAAGGAATCCAGTCTACAGAAAGGAGGGGAGCAGTGGCCCACACCTGTGGGAGCCACATCCTCTCATATTCACTCCACCCAGAAGCCACAGGCAGGACAGGGCACGTTTCTGGTTCTTCAACACACAGAGGAGGCTCCCTGGGAGATGATTTCCTAGGGGTCAGAGGTACCCATATCTGGGACACCCTGTATACCTTAAATATGGGGTTAGCATCCTAGGACAGTGGCCAAATTGGTTTCCCCATTTGTTTGCATGTTGTCTGGCTGCTTTTGCACTGGAAAGTGGAGGTGTGTGGTGCACACAGAGACAGGCACTAAGTGTCCTGCAAAGATCACAACATTCACTATCCACCCTTTGTAGCAAAAGTTTGCAGCCTCCTGCCTAAATCTATGATCTTTATATGCTGCTGCCTCCTCAGGAGGTAGAAAACGTTGGTTTGGACCCAAGGGTAGAGTTGAGGGTGCCTTTCCTCTCTATCATGCCCAGGGTCATACTTTGAAAATAAGTGCTTCCTGTCTGTCTCTCCTGCTCCAAGTTCTGTGGGCCAGGAGCAAAGGCTTTTTCTGGCGTGTGTCAGGCAAGAGGGATAAGGTGGTACTAGGTGGAATAAGTGATTAAGGCCATTTCAAAGATGTTAAAGTGTTGGAGGCACTGGAGTATTTGAACCACAAATGATGGTTCTGGAGTGGGGAGTCTTGAATCCTGAGGGGAAATGAGATGTGGCCGGTTGAAGTGAGGGCCAGGGGCTGCAGGTTAGGTGATCTGCTGGCAGAACGCGCTGGGAAGTTCAAGGGTGGAGAGCAGTGGAGATGATGGAGGATTTGTGTGGGAAAGTATGTGAGTAGTGTAGGGAGAAGGGATCGTTCGTGGGCGACTGTGGGTTGAGACCCTGCGGGAAGATCCCCTGTCCTGACCTCTCCCATGCTAGGGCCTTTGGCTCCCACATCCCCAGATGTAGGCTGGTGCAGGGAGGCGGGAGGAGGGGGGGGGAGTGGTGGTGATGGTGGTGCAGAGGGTGTCAGCGTGGAACAGGGCTCGAAGTGCTGGGAAGTGAGGGCGCCCGCAGCTGCCCAATCACCTGCGGTCTGTGGGACATGCCCTGGGACGGGGGGGGTCCGGCTTGGGTGGGCGCTGGAGAAACTTTGCCCGTGATCTATCTCCTTACCCTCCCCTGCTCCGGCGGCCCGTTTGCCCAGCAATACTGTTCTGCCCGTCGCCTCCTGTATGTAGTTCTCTCTCCTCGCCAGTAGGGAGGGCGACAGGCCGCCCGGAGACAAGGCGGTAGGAGGAGCTCTTGGCCCCGGGACTTTTTCTAGCTCTTTTCTCCAGCCACGGCACTCGCCATCGTAGAATCGCCTTCTCGACTGCTTGTCGCGATGGTGCGAACTGCGGGCTCCAGGTTAAGTCTTGCCCTCCTGGTGCTCCTGCTGCCAGAGCGTCCCTGGGCGGACTGTCCCTGGGCGGCAGGCAGGGGTGAGTTAGGGATGGAACCTGTGGGGGTGTGATGGGGAGAAAGTGTGGGCTGTGGGAGTGTGGGGGACGAGGTTGAGTGGGGAGGCAGGGGCGAGGTGTGGGGGTGAGGAGCATCAAAACTCCACCCGACGGAGACCCACCCGGAGCCCATTGCGGTTTGTCAACCTTACGCCTCCTCTTTTGCCGGCTCCACCGGCTAGTTTCTGCCTGGGCGGACCCCGGGGCTGGGTGTCCCCTTCCAGGCAACGAGAGGGTCCTAAATGAGGTGACTTGGGCGAAAAAGTAATGCTGGGCCAAAGAGCGGGTGTGTGTGT